TATATATATATGTAAATATATATTCCATGCTAGGCACACACAAGATATATAAAATAGATCATGCATTCTAACATTTAAGATCGTTGCAACACGTTATCTTACTTTTCCATTTCGGGGCGGTTCATAACGGTGCGACTTAGACGAGAGAGTATCTCTAGAAACTCGTCTCGATCTATGTCATCCTGCTGATCCCAGTAACTTTCATGGCTGCATGCGTAAAATTGGATCGGTCGATTAATTTCGATTGCGAAAATCACGTACAGTGACAGACTTAGCATTACATGACATAAAAACGTACGAAGAATATAATTTAATTTGCCGGATACTTAAAGCTAAAATGCGATGTTGTAAAATACGCAAGAGAACGCTTCGAAAATTATAAATTAAACAGTAAGAAGATAGCTGACTAATATAATATAGAATGGGTATTAATAGGTATGTCTACACGGAATTCAAAATTATATCCATCGTGATTGTATGAAACGTCATTCGGCAAGTCACTTTCAGTTACCGGGATTCCTTTCTATGGGCTAGTATGTTGTCAAACAGAACTGGGTTAAACTGTTTGAAGCGGACTTCTATTCTTGTTCAATATATTCGTTTAATTGTAAATACGCGCTCGGAGCAATCGCGCGATTTGCATTTTTTGATATTCTATGAATATATTTAAAAATTATTTTTACGTATCACGACCTTTTGTATTAAACGAAAAAGGTTGCGATAATTAAACTTGTCGTGTAGCTAAAAATTTTACTGTCATTTTACTAATTTTTTATTTTTTTTTTATTAACAACTAAATTGAATTAATTTTCTTGTACAATATAAAATTTCTTTTTAAAAAGAATTTGAAAGAGAAAAAGAGGAAAATCTGTCGCGAACAGATACATAGATTCTGATATCTACATGGTTTCATTTATCTTTACTTTGATAGTACTTAATAGTATGTCCCTCTCTCGAGCTTCTTCTTATAATTTAATTTTTGGTAAGAAAATGGGATTTACTTTACCTGTGCGGTATTGCATCGACTGTGAGACTCGAAACTGCGACGACCATTACAAACGCCAGTAGTGTGCACAAGACGGTCATCTTAGGTTGCATCTAAAATAAATTAATCATACACATACTTATAGTTTTTAAAATTAATTTTATATTTATAAAGATTGCATATCACAATATCTCTTGTAATTAGAAGCTTGAACGATGAATAAATATGGAATAATATGCTAATATACTATGCGATTTTCTATAAAGTAATCTAGGTATAATCTAGGTATAATCTAGGTATTCAGGATTATAGCTTATATTTATACAGGATTATAGCTTATATTTATACATACATATATGAACACTATTCATATCTCTCATTTGATTTAACATTAAATATTTAACATTAAATACACTTTCCATATTAAACTAATAGAACTCAAACGTATTTAGCGTTAAAAACGGTGCTAAATAAGATTAGGATGTGAATATAGATCAATATATTTATATGTATTTCCCGTATAATAATTTCGCAATATATTCATTGTTCTACTATTAGGCCACTATCTCTTGTATCGTTTAATGGAGAATTATGTGCCACTATTTCAACGTATATATGTTTCATCGTACATATGTTCGTGGATTAAAGAGCAGTAAACCCCAGGAGAGAAACGTTCTTGATTATACGAGCAACTTGCTATCACCTCACATATTCTAGCAACGGATTGAGTGCCAAATAGCTGTCTCGAAGTGCTCAGGGCAAGCATTTCATCTTCACCGTGAGATTCTAATTTGGCGGAGCGAAATTCTCAATCTCAAGTAAATTTTCAACTTCAGTTTACGAGTGCGCAAGACTAATTGCGAATATTGCGTTGTTTGTGATAACTTGCGAAAGGCATAGTAAATAAAACAGTGTCTTGAAAAATACGCATTTAAAGCTTTTGTTCGAGACAACTGCAGTTCCATTAACAGAGTTGTAGTTATTTTCAAATATTTTGTATGATATTTTTATGATAGGATTAAAAGCTTAAATCCATTCTATTGTGCGTGAAACAGTGTTTTTACCAAGCCCTTTTCCAGCCATTTCGAAATAGTTTGTTTTATAATCATAAATATGTAACATATGCTTCATATTGATCCTAGGTCCCTTCCATAAACCATAAGGACTGTCGTAATAAAGACAGTATCTATTTATAAGCTTGAAGTTAATTCAATCATATGTTTTCGAAATCAAATTTCTAGATTTGAATTGCCGAGTTTTTATAAGAAAACGCGGTTGAATTCTTCATCGTTTACTTAGCTACATTTTAATCTAACAACGCGGGTATTGTTCCCGAAACTATTGCTCTTATCAAGCATCCTCCAAGACGCAGAAGTTGGCCGTTAGATGAAACGCTAAATAAGACAAAGGGGGTGAGATCGTGAGGCTAGTTGAAGACGTGAAAGATGAAACAATGGCCTCTCCGATATATATGGAGAAAAGTTGGCGCGTTCTCGGCTAACAAACTATTCAACTCGCAACCCACGAAGAACATCCTGCCATTTGACGACAGTAATGTACAAGCAGAATCATTTTACAGTTAAACAACGCGTTCAAGTAACAGCGGTATTAGCAATGGATTTGAAATTGTTGCATGGGTCCTAAATAGAACAACTAGTAATTCTGTCAAATATCTAATAATATTTATAATAATTTTTTGCATTATTCTATTAAAATAATATGAAACGGCAAAGAAAGAGAATAGATCATTAATTTATTTTGCAAAGTTATAAATAATCTTTACAAATAGCGCTTAATTTCGTGCAATTTGTAATCTCTAAATATATCTCTAAATAAAACGGTGTTTAAATATTATATGATATATAGTTAAATTTTATTTTATCTTTTTGTTATTTTTATCTGCATTTCGCTTATTTTATCCTTTTTTGTTGATGTTTCTTCAATTAGTATTTTATTGCGGTATAATCACAACTCGCTTTGAACAGTATCCGTAGTATGGATGGATAATTGGATCCACCTTTCGAAATAATTGATGGCCACGGACCGTTATTTCATATATGTGTATTTATTTTCATCCGCGAATGAGACGACACGTTTATGGCTCAGTATTATGGAATTTCTGTTCCTTTTTGATCATATCAATCGAAATTATTACATTATATGTAATTAATGCAAGAATAGTTTTGCACCGTTTTATTATTTTGCGAGATGTTTGTTAAAAAATTGATAAAGAAGAAATTCTTATATTTTTGTTAAATCTGAATTTCTTGCAAATTGTGTATTTTTACATTTGAGAAATTTCTGAAAGCATTTCTCTTGTTGAGATCCCTCTTGTTTTCTGTCTCTGCGCTATTGTAGACAAAATCAATCTATTTATTCCAAATTATACGGTATATTTCTCTATTTGCACAGTATTTCTTTACTACATTTATCCTATACAGATCATTTTCATGCATTTTAGTTTTATAAAAATTATATTGAGAGTAAAAAGAAAACAAGAATTTACCCTATACAGAGTTAACGTTCCAAAAGAATGTTTAAAATTCGCATTTAATTTACTTCAGTAGCCATTAATGCGAATTAGACGACTCTGGCGCCGTCGTCTTCACTTTACTGTGTTCGAGAGAAGTCGTGAGCTATAAATCTGCGTAATTTCGTCGTATTTATCGTCCCCGGCTTACTTAGGCGTAACCGCGCGCTGAACGAGATGGGTGGGATAAATCAAATCATATCTAAAAAAAAAGCTACGTGGCAACGTAAGGGCATGCTAAGTATAGCGCGCGCGGTTAATATCGTTAACGTCCGATAAAAATTTATTTCCCTAGAAAACACGTTCCCGATAATTGTGCCCGGTAGTGCCACGGCAAATCTAATAACGCGATAATCGAGTTTCGATCCGGAAACTGTAGTCGTGTTGTGTCGATCTTTCTTGAGATCTCGGCCGTTTTCTTGTTTCCGTTCGTGCTAAAGAGCTTTTATCTTCTATGGAATATAGTACTATCTGCAGTCTGCCAAAAAATATTACCTTACCATTAAGACGCGCATTAATCTTACAATATTATAAAATTTGCAGATGTTTCTCTTGACCAACTTAAAATCAAACTCTTCTTAAAGAAAATTCAAAATCTGAGTATTCTTTTCGCATTTTTCTATTTTCTTATTAATTTCTTTCTTATATTTATATAATAATACTATTCGGTATTATTACATCTGCGTAAAAATTGAAGATGAGAAATCGATAGTCTTACTATGACATAAAAGATAAAAAATATTATCTCTGAAATAAAAAAAAGTAGTAATAAAAGAAAAGAAAGAATCGCGTAAATGTGATATTGTACCTGCGCGATTAACTGTTAATTATACCGCCATTTATTCATCTCATTTTTCAATTTGTTGTTTCACGTTGATTTTATTATTAAACGTTTGTTTTTTTAGGCGAAACGTACCATGATAAAGCAATTGCATTTTATACAAATTATTTTTTTCACTCTGTATTAATATTATCCTACTACTTTCTAGATCGATTGAATCATACTGTCGTGACTATTGGTTTTCGAACAATGTCGGTGATAGTCAATCACGATAATAGTCTCTCTTTTTATCATCTATACATTGTGCGTGATACTGTGCGAATGCTAGTCCTATAAAATTTATGTATCCAAGCTGATAAGAGCCACGCATGGGCAAATTCGAATGATCGCTGATCGCATATCGCGAACGCTACTCCGTGCGATATTTATGGAATCCCGAGCGATAAGCAAACAATTTTAGCCAAACATGTGGATGTTAAAACGTTGCACTAGTTATTTTGAGATTCTTCATTGCGTGGAATTAATTTTATCATAAATCAAATAAGATCTACAGATATCATATACATTTTTACTCTTGCCAAATATTTCACGTTTGCACAAAAATTTCACAATTATATTTATCATATTTTTTTATATTATTTATTTAATTTTATCGCGATAATTCAGTCTAGTTTAAAATTAAATTATATAAAAGTTGCATCACACCAATGATTTCGAGACGAAAACTTTCCCGCCGATATGTGTCAGTCGCGTCTCTTTTTCATATGAAATGTTTCCATACGCGCGATAAAGCGACAACTAATACAACCGAGCCGATTCTGCAATATATTGTTCGCTGTTGCAACTTCACCGTCATTGTAGATACATTTATATGCATTTCGTAGTTATCACGGTGGTATGTCACATGTATAACGGATATATTGTACTCATTATATGTATAAGAATACGTAAATAAAATGTAGACACGATTGGCTAAACAATAGTATGACGCGCAATATCCATCTTTGACAGCGGATATGGTTAATCTTGCAAAAATTGAATTGTAAGAGCATTTACGCGAGACAATATGATGAGGAGATTGTACTGTTTGATAAACCCGTGTCAATTGGAACTCATCCCTCGACGTAAATATAGTCTTATATAGAACATCCCAGAATAATTGCTCTTTTTTGATTACATAAAGCGATGTTATTTTATTATGTAAAACAATGTTGTTCTCTCTCTATAAAAAAAAATCCATGTTTTATTTTATCTCTGCTAACAAGTTATAAACATTTTCTATATGATATTTATTTAAACGTAAAACTGGCTATGAAAGAAAAATAGACTAATATCATTGAAGAAAATTTTCTATAATTACCAATGCAATAATTCATAGGATAATTTATAAATATGCTTTTTTTTTTATCGGAAAGAGAATAAGAAATATGGTTGTATAACGAGCTCGATTCTTGTAAATCGATTCAGGCTGCTTACGTGTTTTCCAATAGAGACGTAATCTATAGTAATGTTAACATATTATACTTTTATCGGTATATTAATATTTTCTACCATAAAAATAATTATTATGTAGCAATATAAACGCAAATTAACTTAACAAACCAATTATTTGGTTTAACTGTTAATAAATAAATAATATCACTTTTTAAATATATAATGCATATTACGCATTCATACACTCTTGTTTACATTTCTTCAATCAAAGATAAATCCGACAGCAACTTAATAAATCTCATTCATTAGCATACTCGCGTTTGAGGAACAACGCTGAATAAATGCCTTTAAGCTTAATTGTAATGAAA